CACACACACACACAAAAACACACACACACACACAAATATGTAGAGATGGAAACACACAGATAGAAACACACGCAGAGAGAGAAAGCAATAAAAACACACACACACACACACACACACACACACACACACACACACACACACACACACACACACACACACACACACACATACATACAGAGGGTCAGAGACAGACAGTCTGATACCACCTGACTCTAATAAAGTGTGTGTGTGTGTGTGTGTGTGTGTGTGTGTGTGTGTGTTAAAAGCCTCCTCTGTTTTATGCCAAAGTGAACAGACGCAGTAAAAACAGCACCAGAAACCAAACACTGCGAAACGCGCGCACACACACACACACACACGCACGCATGCACACACGCAGCACGCAACACAACATCAGATGGAAACAGCAAACTTTACCTTCTCAGTGGATTAGCAGCTCGCGGTGTGTGTGGAGCGTCTGTGTCTGTCTGTGTGTGTGTGTGTGTGTGTGTGTGTGTGTGTGTGTGACGTCCCGCTGACGGATCTCAGATGCTGATTAACGGACGCGTCGCCCTCTTATGACCTGCTGAAGTTAAACAATTACATCACACACACTCTCTCACACACACACGCACTCCGGAGGAACGAGAGGTCTCAAACACACAGCAGTGGAGCGGCTCACTGCCCCGCGCAGAGAGAGAGAGACAGAGTGTGTGTGTGTGTGTGTGTGTGTTCTGGAGGCGGGGCAGATGTGAGGTGTGTGTGAGTCTGTGTGTGTGTGTGTGAGAGTTTAAGTGAGGAGTGTTTCTGGTGGTGTGTGTTTGTGTCAGGGTGTGTGTGTGTGCGCGTGTGTGTGCATGTGTGTTAGAGTGTGTGTGTTAGTGAGAGAGAGAATGTGTGTGTATGTGTGTGTGAGTGTGCTTGTTAGAGAGTATATGTGTGTGTGTTAGAGTGTGTGTATGTGTGTGTGCACGTTAGTGCGTGTTAAAGTGAAAGATGTGTGTGTGTGTGTGTATATTTGTTAGAGTGTGTGCGTGTTAGAGAGAGAGTGTGTGTAGCTGATGTTGGTGTAATCGTCAGGTTCTGAATCTTCATCATCAGTCTTTCTGTGTGAGCTTTCTCTCTCTGTGTGTGTGTGTGTGTGTGTCTGTGTGTGTGTGTGTGTGTGTGTGTGTGTGTGTGTGTGTGTTGGAGAGATCTGAGCCTCCTCTGGGACTCTTCACACATGTGAGATGATTGTGAAGCTCAGACAGACACATGAGTTCAGCACTCGGCTTCAGCCCTCACAGCAGTGGAGCTCAGAGGAGTTCTGAGCTCGGTCCACTCTAAATCAAGCCGTTCCTGTACTCGTGTTCCTCAGTGCTGCTGACGTGAAGAGCAGGTTCTGTAAAGTGGCAAGCTCAGAAAACGTCTGGATTCCCAGCAGTCATAAGATGTTAATATCAGGTTAGATTTAGGTTGTGACATGAGGTGACCAAAATTCAGTGTCTATCCAGCGTCTAACGACGACGTTATTTTGATGTCCAATAGTGTTCATCAGGTGTGGAAACCAACACCCACCAACAATGACCACACAACGTCTAGCTGGAGCATCAGTAGACGTTGATATTTGGTTGATTTTAGGTTAGACAGTGACGTCGGCCTGACGTTGGGTTCTGATGTCGGCATTATTTTCATTTCTAAACAAATGCAGCGTCGCACAACACAGGGGTACATCGTCAATCTGACGTCATGCTGACATCCTGTGCCTGCTGGGATGCAGAGTCATAATTCTGTGCAAATAGCAATCTGTAAGCTCGTAATTGTAGAAAACAGTAATAATGTGTTGAGGATGTTTGTCATTATTACATTTATTCATATTAAAATATTAATTTAATTTAGATTTTATTAACTTTTTTTTATATTTAAGTTAAAAATGGAAGAAAGTTAAAGCCTCATGATGTAAAGTCTAAATTACGTGTAATAGTCCGAGTCGCGCAGTGCCAATTCACAATTTCTTGAAGAAAGTAGGAACTGTAAGACGCGGAGCTGATTTCATGTAGCAGTAATGTTTTAAAAATGAAAGTCGTAACTTTAAAAAAAAGCAGAGCGGTGTGATATTTCAGCTCGCAGTCTTTGAGGGTAAAAACAGTCATAATTTGTTGCGTGTTTTTCTCTTAAATAAAGTTGTGTGATTTTATTACTGCACTACCACACTATGCTTTAAACTGAAGTGTTTCTGTGTCGACACAACGATCAGGTTTTTGTAAAGTTGCAGTTTCTGTAAAAAAATGTTGAAGCTTCATGATGTGAAGTTGGGTTAGGGTGAGGAAAAAGCTCAGGATGTAAAGTTGAAATTATAGTTTAAAACTCACAATTTTTGCAAAACAAAGTCAGAATTGTACAATGCAAAGTTTTTTATGCCAAAAGTAATTCCTTATTTACAACTTTTCCACAAACTTAAAATTTTAAGATGGAAGTCGAAACTTCTGGAAAATGTCAGGATTGCAAGATGCAGGTTCACAATTCCTGAAAAAAGTCTGAATGTGTTGTGTGTGTTTATGACCAATGCTTAATTCAGTGCATTAAGTTCCTCTAAATGGTTTAAACTGCCGTCTCTCTGTGTTGACGCAGCCATCAGGCTTTACAAATTTGCAATTTCAGGAACTGCAAGACAAAAAGTTGCAATTTCTAAAGTAATGATAATAATGGGCGTCACGGTGGCGCAGTGGGTAGCACGTTTGCCTCACAGCAAAAAGGTTTCTGTCAGTTGGTGTTTCTGTGTGGAGTTTGCATGTTCTCCCCGTGTTGGCGTGGGTTTCCTCCGGGTTCTCCCCCCGGTTTCCCCCACAGTCCAAACACATGCGGTGCAGGCTAAATTGTCCGTAGTAGATGTGTGAATGCAAGAGTGTATGGGTGTTTCCCTGTGATGTTTTGCAGCTGGAAGGGCATCCACTGTGTAAAACATATGCTCGATAAGTTGGCGGTTCATTATGCTGTGGCGACCCTTGATTAATAAAGGGACTAAACCGAAAAGAAAATGAATGAATGAATGAATAAAGATGTAAAGTCAAAATGACGTCAGAATCACCGTGCAAAATCACAATTTCTGAATTGTAAGATGCGAAGTCGTAATTTTATGCAAAAGTCACAATTTTGATATGAAAGTCGCAATTTCTCTACATCTACCTGAGCTCAAACTCCCCTCTCGCCTTGCAAACGGGAAGGAGCGCAGGGCTCGAGGATCTTCTGAGCTCAGGGCTCTCTCCCGGGACAGCATGACAAACACAATCTCATGGCAATTCATAAGGTTTTTATTTAGTGCCTAATTCGTATGAACTCGTACAATCTAAATCATACAAATTTAGTACAATTTGCTCATCGTCCAATGACGGTAAGGGGTGGGGTTGGGGGCCACGCCTCCTTTTTAAAATTGTACATTTTTGTACGACGAAACTCATATGAATTAGCCACTAAACTGACAAAACGTAAAATACCTACGATTCTTCGTGAGATCAGGCTGGCATGCCAAACAAGCTTTATAATCAATCATCAGCTGAGTGTCAACTCATGAAATTTGGATTTTTTTCTGGAAAACCCCCACCTTAATTACAATTTGTAAAATTTCTAACTACATTTTAAAAATGAGAATCACGCAGAGGAAAATTGTTAATTCTAGAAAGCATTCAGAATGGTAGGATTCACAGATGTCATTTCATGCAAGTCAAAATTTAAGGAAGTTGCAATTTCAAAAATAAAAGTAAAAATCGTCTTTGTATGATGTAATGCTCGCAGTTTTAGACGAGTGTGAAACGTCTGGATTTGATGTGCACGCTTGTCATTTTTATTACGGTTTACGCTGCTGAACTCAGTTTTATTATGTGAATCAGTTTTATTGCGCACTGTCTCTTTAAGACTCATCAGCGTGCAGACCTGTGTGTGTGTCACGCAGCATCTCCTGCGATGCGTGAAGGCTGTGGATTCCTGCGCTGTCGTGTTGTGTGTGTGAGGGATTAGGCTGTCAGACGTGCAGGAACTCGCTCACCTGTGGGCCCGTCTGCAGGTGAGGGCTGCTGCTGCCGCTGCACTTTCTCCACCTGTTAGCAATAATCTCCACTGCAACCGGCTCTGGAGAACATTCCTGGCATTCTGCTGCAGCGGGGGTTTACACACACACACACACACACACGTGTAAACACAATCATGGGCGCATCAAAGGCTGTGTGTGTGTGTGTGTGTGTTTGCAGTGTTAATATGGCGTTTGATTCCTGTAATGGGCAAGTTCTACATGCCTCTCTCTCTCTGCAGGTGCTGAGTCTGGCTCACATTCAGCTCATTAGCACAAAACACACACACACACACATACACAGTGCAAGCACTTCATCATGGCGGAGCTGCTGCCAGCCTATTACGACTTTCTGAAACTTCGTATCCTGCAGCATGGGTGAATAGTCCGAGATCTTCATTCTCAACTGGAAGAACTGGAGATGTAGTATGAGGGAGCGGCACGGTGGCGCAGTGGTTAGCACTGTGGCCTCACAGCAAGAGGGTCTCTGGTTTCAGTCTCGGCTGGGTCAGTTGGTGTTTCTGTGTGGAGTTTGCATGTTCTCCCTGCGTTTGCGTGGGTTTCCTCCAGGTGCTCCGGTTTCACCCACAGTCCAAACACATGCGGTACAGGTGAATTGGGTAGGCTAAATTGTCCGTAGTGTATGAAGTGTGTGTGAATGGAGTGTGTATGGATGGTTTCCCAGAGATGGGTTGCGGCTGGAAGGGCATCCGCTGCGTAAAACATATGCTGGATAAGTAGGCGGTTCATTCCGCTGTGACGACCCCGGATTAATAAAGGGACTAAGCCGACAATAAAATGAATGAATGAATGAATGAATGAATGCTTTGTTGCAATCGGTTTGCTCAAATGGTTTGAGTTACCTGAACTTAGTGGGTTTTACAGTGTGTGAACGCGTTAATCGTTGCATCCCTTGATATGAAGTCACATTATAATGTAAAATGTCAGAACTGCAGTGTGTGACGAAACAATCTCTACTAAATAAATCTGAGTCTCAAATGAAAGTAAACGCGAATCTGTTCAGTAAAAACGATTTAAAGCAGACACATTAAACACATTACGTTCAACTCCAAACACGCCAGTTGCGCCCTGACATCCTCTTAGCATTGTGGTATTTTTCTAATTAATTCGACATCTCTTTTAAAACACACACACACACACACACACACACACACACACACACATGTTGTATTGAGTGACAGTGACCTCTGACCTGTAAACCTGTAAACAGCACATGTCCGCCATACGGCCACAGAGACGCTAATGAAGTCAAGACACACATGAGAAAGCATTTACAGCATAATAAAGACATGAACGTCAAATAAAGCTCTGTCAAACTCATTTACTGCGCTGGCCCTGTGTTCTGGATGCGCAGCTCTGATGTGGAGTAAACAGTGTGCGTGTGTGTGTGTGTGTGTGTGTGTGTGTGATATATAGATCCGCCCTCAGACT